CGTAGTGTATGTGTGCCAAGTTTGGTCCGGATCGGTTCAGAAATGGAATTTTCTATTCGGAACATACGTACACACAGACAGACAGACAGACAGACAGACAGACAGACATACAGACAAACAGACATTCAGCTTTATATATAAGATTTAAAGTTGCACAAGACATGCACAAGAACACAGCAGTTTCCCGGAATTGTGCGATTTTCGGGAGAAAGGGAAAAGAAACCAAGTCTAACGATACAAAAAGCAAAGTATAGGATAATGGAACCTAGGATGCATGAATATAGACGACTTTACTGCCCTACTGCTTCCCGGGCGGATTACTGTGCCGCGTCGCGGCAATTTTTGATTGCCACCCACAAGTACGAGCGCCCCCCAACACCAAGTAGTAAAACATTTTAACTAAATCTTTTGTCGAATCGTATCCAAAAGAATATTAGGCTGGAAAACTGTTCATCATGTAGCCATAAGCAGGACTAAAATTATTAGCTATGAAGAAATTTTTGGAAATTCACTTCTCTGTAAAATGAAAGTTCAAAGAGTTTAAGTTGTTTATTTTCTCGCCCTCATGGCTCATTGTCTCCGGGATTTTCAATGTCTATTCTTTGACTTTTAGTAAAGCCTGGAAAATCTTTGTCACTCTCCGCACAATCTCTTAGCTGGCCCTATATTAATGAAAGCTGCTTTCTTTCCTCCGAGTTTTCACTACTGCTTCAATGGAGATGGTGGAGGCCGTCGCAAAACGCAGACAAACTTGTTTTGCCTTTTTCGACTGACGCTTTGCTCTTGAAACCTCAGGGTTTCAACACTTAAAGCATCATAACTCAACCTCAACTACTCATCATGCGCTGTTGTCTCCATCCGAAATTTATTCTTGGTAATTCCAAAAGATTTAACCGTTTTTTCCCTTCTACGAAATGCATGTTCTGAAGGAAAGTGTTTTTACTGACGTTCTTTGCAGTTGAGAGAAGTTCTTTTTTGATACATATCCTCTTTCAAAAATGTTCGCTTGAACTGTAGCCGCTCACCATGAAAGGACAACAAATCCAAAAAGCTTTAGTTCTTCGTTTTGTTTCCATGAAATCACAATGACCGGCGATCTTTTGGAACCTTTATAATATATATAAATCTTCTCATGTATAAATGCCCCTTCGTCTTCCAATCTGACGTACCCTTTTAGGTGTGGAGGGAATTCATAGATAGTGTGAGCGTGCGAGACACAACTCTCTCGCAGAGATTTGGACCGTGAGAATTCGAGGTAATGATGTAAGAGAGACAAGGTTGTGCGCGTAACGAGAGTGATTTTGAAATCGTGCGTTGATCGCCGACGGCAATGTCAAACGTCTTTAAAAATTACTGTAGCCGTGACTCATCTCCATCTCGACAGTAAGCATGTGATCATCGTCGGTCAGGGGCATTGCATTGCCAGTTTCTGTTATAATATTCTCAGTTCACAACTACTATTCTCAGTTGTGATCCTCGCTACAGCAATACTCTCTTTCTCCCGCTCCAGAATCTAGAGTAACTGGTTTCAACTTACTTTCCTAATTTTTCGCAAAAATGGTCGAGGTTATCCAGAGGTCTTCATTCTTTCAAACAAAAATCTTGCTTTACCACTCATTCTTTATTTACAAAAAATCCTTATATGAAGAGCATTCCAAATGCAAAAAATGCATTCTGTCTTTCAAAGAAGAAACTGCGAATAGATTGTGGTGTCTCTGGTATTAGCCCCCATTTGAGCAGAAATTTTGCTTATTCACTCAAATTTTGTGAAATGTTGACAAAGCTCTTGATCCGGCACTTCAACATCGCGCGAGCTCTGCGATGCTGGTCACTCGATACGCAACTGAGATAGCCTGTATGTGCCTATTTGCAGTCTATGCATTTTTCTCTCTGCTCACACTGGGTGTTATTCTAATTAGTGGTTTATGTTGAAAGCGGTAGTCTGGGTAATGTTACGCGGATTTAAATAAATATAAGTTCGCAGTCTGTCTTCTAGCCGTTGCGATCACTAAGTTATTGTGAGCTCACCAGTACGTAACAAGATCTCCACTTTCTTGGAGTAATGCGCAATATGTTTTCCAAGGAGATCGTAAGCAGAGGTCAATTCCGACATAAGTGGCTCATCATTTCGCCGCCCATTTATGTGTGTTTATAACAAGAACTCATGGCTATAGATAGAACAACAATGCCTTATTTTACATTGAGATACTAGACATCACTGACTCGGTGACCCTACTCATACCTTTGCCAAGTACTTTTATCACGATCCGACACAGATCGAATGAAAGTAGGCTGGACTTCGTTTCTGAAACAAATAACAAAGAGGAATATCGTTTTTACAGGTCCGGAGCGTAGCCACGGAAAAATTGTGCACATGCATTACTAGCGAAGAATGCGGAAGATATGCACATACAATGTGCAAGACAATTCAACGCACTTTAACACAAAAGCTCGCGCAGTTTGAACAAAGCCAAAATTGACATACTGCTTGCTTACAGCTTAGAGGTAAGCATATGACACAAAAATTGAACTATAGGCATAGAATATTGTCTATAGAAGAAAATAGAAGAAATGTTTAAAGAGTTTTGAAAACTTATATGAAAATAATACCTTTTTCAAAATTTGTCCGTTTCCAGACGGCCACCAGACGATCTGAGATCGTTTGAAGCACACATTTGTGTAAGTTCACATGAGTTTTGGATTCTTCTATCATGGATGGATTCCCTGTCATTAATCTATCCCTGAGCATGAAGACATTTTCATATCATTGCCTTTCCTTTTTTTGCCTTAATTTCTTCATAATTAGTTTCATAAATCGCTTTGATAGATATCGCGCTCCAATGCCAAACTCTTATGCGTGCGTAGTGCTCAGCTCCACTTTGAATCACTCTTATCTCATGTTTTTTTTTTAGAATAGTAACTCTTTCTTTCATGTTCTTCTAAGTCGGTAAGTTAATGAGGATTTCGTAAAAGTTCCGAAAAATCAGAGAAGACTTCGTTTGCGGAGACCCTAAAAACCGACTCATGTCGTGCTCTGAATTTTATCGATGTCTATCGTTATGCGGCTTTGCACTCTTGCTCCAAATAGTAAATCACTTACAGTCCCGTAACGAGATGTGTTACCTCTCGACAAAGCATATGGTGATAAGAGCATTTTATGAACTGTTTCTTGTTAGATCACTGCCTTTGATGAACTACTAGAGTCATAGCCGTTCATGGAGCCCGTCGCCGTTTCGAGTTGGAACGGTGATCCTGGTTATCGTTTCAAGCGATTGCTTGGACATCAAGAGTTCATTGGAGAGCAGTTCTGTTAGTTGCTCTTCTCATATGAAAAGCCTGAGTGTCCACCATTGGTGTTTGCCTTATAAACCAAGCCAGGAAAGAGTGTCACGCGGACTTTGCCACAGTCACGAGACAAAAGCTAACTACTTGCTGAGTTTTTTAAAGATAAGGGTAAAATATTGAGTTTTCAAGTTTTATACAAAATACTTTCTGAAAAAGCTATTAGTCTAACCATGAATAATGTATTAAGTTGTCGGATAATTTCTGTTACACTTTCTTCTGAATTTTCTAGAAAATTCCAAAAGCTTTTTGAAAACCTCAAATTTTAACACGCTTAGGACATAACAGGGTCTACCCATCAGCATGATTGATTTCGCAAGTGCGCTAATAACCAACAAGTTTACGGCAGTTTTGTAAAAGAAGTCAAATTTTTCAGTTTTTGTCCGATCTTTTTCTCTGCACTACTTGCGCTTTTCCTCTTCCAGAATTTTTTAGAACGTTTTTTGGCATTGTCTCTTACATGGAGGCATTTCGTGCCTCTAGCGTTTCAAAAACGAGGAGTGAAAACATGTCAAAAAAACTCAAAAACTTTCCTAAAATCTTTCCTTTATGTGCATCGTATAGAAATGAATACAGAAAACATAAAAATGATTTTTGAAATTTTTTGAAGACGTTTCCTTTGTAAAAATTTCAATGATTGTAAAGATGGCGCACACTGAGATTTGAACCGGTCAGAACCGTTTAGCGGGTAACGCAGACATGTCTGCGTTACCCGCATACTAGTTAAACGCTATAGACTACGCCCTACCTGATTACCACATTGTACGGTCTTTCGCTCATTCCCTGAGAGAACGCCAGTTCATTTACAAAAATGCGAAGAAAAGGATTTTCAGCCACAAAGTGGGTGTTTTGCGCACGGATCGCGGATGGGACGGTACCCTTGAATAGGCCTTTCGGCCCTGCCCATACACTGTGAACATGAGATATTTTTAAAGCTTCTGAGATTTTTGAGAAATAAAGGAAAAAGTGTAACAGAAATTATCGACAATCTAATAGTTGTAAGTGTAAGAAAATCATTTCGCCTATACGTTATTTGTTGGCTTTTGCGATTGCTCTTCTTTATCCGGTCGACTGATTTGAACTAAGTTTTACCTATGATATTGGCAATGTCATTGCAATAGTCATTTTGACCGTTTTGTACCCTATTATTAGGTACAGCATTTCAGTAAAGGACTTATTGCGGCTTGGTCGCAAAACTGTAATCTTCGTTCAAGTATGCAATCTTCATTCAAGTAACCTGATGACGAAGTTTAGTTCAAATGGAGCATAGAGATTGAAGTAAAGGGCCGCACCTTTTCTTTAGGTTCAAATTGGCTTGCTTAGGGCATGTCGTACACCAACGCGGTAGGCTTGTCCCGTTTTTTTTTTGAAAGTTTTGACCAGGTATCATCCAGTGAAAAGAGTACCACTCTAGGTTTGATACAGACTTCGCGGCTTACGCGGCGTACGCACACACGTATAAAGATATGTGGCGTGCGCCGCATACGCCGCGCAGAAGCTCAACCCGTAGAAGCTCTTGCCGCATTGTACATTTGATATGTTCGCCTGCTCATTGCGGCTGCTCCTTCCAAAAGCGATGACTGCAAAATGCTAAACACCTAAACTACAGTTTCAAAAAAACTAACTAGCCTCATCATGACTAATTCTTCTGATTGCAGAGAACCCCTCATCCTGCACAATAACTTCGCCATTCCCACAGACATCGAACACTTTCTTGAGTATTGGAAGCGTTCAAAACTTATCGAATGTATCAATATGAAAGTAGAGCGTGACTCAAGTGCGCGCTATCTTCCCAAGGATAAAACGCTGAGAATGATGTCAACGCTTATGAGGTATCTGGTCTCGTTCCACATATATCCGTTCCTCAACGGTGGCACACTATTAGGTAAGAGTTTGACTTTGCACGGGAGGTCCACAGTTCCAATTTTTAGCATTTTGCAGAATTTCGCTATACGACATTTTAAGTATCACTAAAATACTTCTATAACTAAAATCTAGCGATGCAAGAAAGCTCGCTACACAAGTGTTTACAAAATCTGTACCGGATTTGATTTTATAGATAAAAAATCTATTTCACCAAGAACAGCTGCACATATCTTTCAAACAAACTGCAATCTGTATGGTTGCTTTTGTGTATCTAGATAAACATTATTGTATTTGAACGAATTCCGCTCAAATGTCGTGTTGCGCGGAGGTATACCCTCTTCAACAGGATTGGCGGCTGGTGGGAAGGCTCACTTCCCGCTGCTCGCCTGGCTCTGCAACTCTTTCGTGATATGGGTTCTCTAGTTTTGAAGCCTTTCCAACGCTCGTATTGGGAAAGTAATTATAGAGGACGCTTACGGAAGAGGTGCAAAGTCTAAGCAGCCCCGCCCTTCAGCTGACAATCCTGTTGAATCAGAGGACAAATCCATACGTGAAAAAGTACGGGGTGCCTATTTACACCAAAGTTTTGTGCAGGGCTTACCAGTTGCGGGTGCGGCAGCATCACTGCTCTCGCATGGCCGCCTCGCCCGGACTCTGCACCTCTCTTGCAAATATGCTCTCTATTCATTTTCGCACGCCTGATTAGCGATTGAAGCTCCCTTTTCCACGCTCCTGGTGGAAAAGTGATAAGAGAGCATTCGCCTAAGAGGTGCAGAATCCAGCCGAGACGGCCATTCGAGAGTGGAGATGCTGGTGCACTCGACTTTGCAATAGTTAAGCCCTGTATGTTTGCGCATTCATGATTGAGCAGTATCTACCATGACCGATTTGTAAAAATGACGTTAAAAGGAATTGAGAATGTTCTGATTGTCACGCGCACTTACCAGAGAAGGCACCTTGGTCGAAGTAGCCATATGGGAAGTGATGCTTATGGGTAGACAGCTCTTCGAACGCTGATCTGAAAACTGCTTTTGCTATCTGCTGAGATTTTTGTGAAAGGAGTTATGAGCCCTTCTTTTGCCCAAAAATGCCCTATTTTTATTAAGACGCGGCAAGACATCCTTTGAAGGGGCGTGGTGTAGTGGTGAATGGCTGCGGTTTACAGGTAGGTGAACAGGATTCGAGTTCTGTTGTCGTCCAGCAGTTTTGCATTTTCCTAAATTTATTGCTTGCCTTTGAAAATGCCATATGTGGACAGTTTATCGTAATCTCGCTACAAGTGATCAATTTGTGAACGTGGCTAACTGTGGAACACCATTCTAGCTACAGATAAGAAGCTGTCTTAGAAACGTCCAAAAAGGCATAAAATGTGAATAGCCAATCTCTTGCTGATTTTACAAGTGGCGGCAAAAATAAGCGCGTTTTGGATTACCAATGAACAAGAATTAAGAATACTACCAGGATCGAGCAAGGGCTATGGCACACATGCGTCGGATACGACCCCCCCCCCCCCCCCATCTTCTCTTCCGTAGGCATGATATAAAAGCTCTACCATGTATAATTAGGCGCATATTCGTAATTATCATGTCAAATAACCACCGTAGCCAAGTTTTAGCAAAATCTGAGGATTCCCAACATTGGATCATTTAAGCGAAGTGAATATTTTCGAAGATGATTCTATATTTTAAAAGTGAACTAGCTAAATCTTTTTGTACTTGATACAAAGCACTACTCCTTATTCTCCCTATTCTCGTGATGAATCCTTCAAATAACCATCAAATTATGGAATTAGAAGCAGGCCAAAATCTCGTTCGTCTCATTTTTCGCTTCCAATCGAATATAGCATTTGAAATTCGACATTCAAAGTTTTTCCATTTTCGAACAATATTCGGAACTCGAATAATTGAGAAAGCGGGGTTTCGAATACATTTTATTCGAATGTTTTATTCGAATGTTTATTCGACGTATTCGAATAAACTCCGTACTCAGATTATTCGGGTTTGTTGCAGAGCCACTGCTGAGTATCAAGCTCGCTTCGTCTCCTTTTTTCCGCAAAACTCGGTAATGCATCTTTTTGAAATCGTGACGGCCATCGAACTATATGGAAAGTCGCATTTCTCGGACTGCTTGTGACAGTAAATAGGTCTGGAATTTGATTGGTGCTTCTTCGATCAACGAGATAGTTCACGCTGCTATCGGCACCAAATCAGCAGAAAAACCTATCAAATCCAAGCTCATGTTCCGAGATCATATATTAGAAATCTGTTGACATGGCTGTTTCTCTTTCTTTGCACTTTCATGCTTTTGGTACGCACTAGTGAGCACTCTTGCTCACAAAAGTCAAATTGCACAGCTGCCTCTATTCTTTACCTTAGAGATTTTTCGCGAGTGTATTTTGAGTTAAGGACATTGCAGCTGTAGTGGAGTAATAGACGGTTGCTGGATTTTGCAGTTATATAGACTTGCAATAAAGTTTTGTTCAGTAGATAGTACATGATAGTTTAGTTATCACAGTGCTTTCAAGATTTTCACGGCGGCTTGCAGGCACTTTAATACAGGAGCTATCAGCTAGCAACTATGGTAAAGACTAAAGCCGGACGAAGAAGGTGCACATTGAGAAATGCGAGCTTTGATTATAACAGGCTCCGCACATACTTCACGCGACAGTCGTACGCGATTTGCCAGTTATAAGAAGCTAGCTACGGGGCTGGGACTTTACAGGGGTAAATGAGGGTGCTGGTTAAAAAAATCTTCTTGTTTTTCGATTTCACCGATTTTTGGAAAATCTTGAGCTAGGCTAGGAGTCGCATAGGAGATATGAGGGTGCTCATTATGAATGGATCGCTTTAGCCGAATATGTCAGCAAGTTTTAGAGCTGGCTGCTCTAGTTATTCGATAAATCATTCGAATATTCTTTCGAAATTCGACTCCCAATATTCGAATAAAATCGATATTCATTCATTCGATATTTTTGATTTTCCGATTTTATTCGGGATTCATTCATTCGAGAAATTTTGGATCTCGAATGAATGATACTCGTTTCTATGAACAATATTCGTGTATTCGAGATTTTGTATTTTCGAATTTATTCGATATTCGATATTCGTTTATTCGAAATTTTTCATTTTTGAATCTATTCGATATTCATTCATTCGATGAAAAATTTCGAATTTCACCAAGTATACAAGACAGAGGCTATCAAACTATATATATTTAGTTCGCTAAAATTTTTTTCGGAGGTAAGTCAATGGGGTGTGGCACCAACCCTAAAAACATACCCTCGATACATAGAGCCAGTACTCTGGTAACCTTCACTTTGAGGGCTATTAGGGGGGCAGAACCTTCACCTGGAAAAAAAACAGAAATCATCCGGGGCTTCGTCCTATATGTTGTTATCCTGACTACATCGGAACGTATGTTAGTGAAGCAAATATAGGGAATAATATCTTATCTTATTTCAGCGAAACCGAGAATTTGCGTTTTCATGGCCTTTTTTACGTTGAAATGAAGGTTTCTGTAAAATTTTCGCCGGAATTCAGGACAACATTTCTCAGTTAACATCTTATTTGACCAAAATCGTGTTATAGAAGTTTAGAAAGTTGTTGGAGTTGAAAAAACGAGAAACTGCGCTTGAATCTTGAGGCAGTCGCGCACGAAAACGCTAGTCTATTCAATAATGAGTGAATTTCAAAGCTTGAGACGTTGTCAGCCCTCCTTGTCGTGTTATGGCGATCAGAATGATATATAATGCTGCAGGTTTCGTTGAGACCCCGCGGAGATCTACGACCAGAAAATGCCCCTCGGTTCTGGTCTGTCTCCGCTGCTCGTCTGCGTCTCCGCGCGTTGCGCGCTATCTCGCTACCCCAAACGCGGGGCGCGGGGCATTTGGCTCTGGTACCCTTTTCTCTGTTTCAAACCCAAATTCAGCAAGCTATATATCATTTTGAAGCTCTTGATCTCTATTTTCACGGTTCTTGATCTGGTCGAGAAATCCGTCAAAAACCTTGTTTTCGAGAATCTCTTGTTTTTCTCCTAGTTTAACTCTTTTCACGCAGTTTTTTTCGTGCATTCTATAGATCTTGCTTCTGTTTTTAATGCAGACAACCACCCAGCCCTTACCTCTTCGATCGTGGAAGAATTTTTTGCGAAAAATCATAAAAAGTGCGTTTTTCTTTACCTTATTCTTTCAGTGCTTTCGCGTCGATTCTCTTCCAGCTTGGGCGATTGTTGCTCAGAACAATAAGCGCAACAATCCAGACAACGTCCCAGGAAACAGGAGAGGGGAAAAATTTGAAGGACGCGTCAAAAATCAAAACCCTGTGTTGCGAATTGCTGGTGGAGCGAAAACTTGCACTGTGAAAAGCCGCCAAACGAAAGATTTCAAATCTTATTGCAGCGTTGTTATCCGGTTTACAGCAGTTTCTTTTGCTTTTTACATCTGTTTTACGTCATTCCCTTTTCTGATCTTCTTTAAACAACCTTCACTATTTATGACGTCAGATGTTCAAATAACCTTCACTTTTGGCGCCCTGTATCGACTATCGAAGGTATGCCCAAGAAACTGTGACGGCCACAGCTTTTTAGGGGTTGTGCTACACCCCACTGACTTACCTTCAGAGCATTCAAATCTCCGTCTTTTTTATATGCTTACCACTACTAAACCTTCTTCTCCACATAGCAGGAATTTCACCCAAAATTGTTGCTCCTGATTAAAGATATCGTCGTTTTTCCTTTGCTAAGCGAATGGGATACACTCGAAAATATTGGATTAGTAATATGCTAAGTCTGCGCTATAACGTGAATCGCGAGAGAAGGTGGCAAGAACATATGTATTCGATACCCTAATCCTAGTAACTTTCACAAAGTGATTTGAGACTGATTGGTCTTCTCTAGTCGGAGAAATTGAAAGCAAAAATGGGACAAACGAGATTTTGACTTGCTCTTGATTCCAGAGTTTGGAGGTTAATTGTAGTGGGATTCCTAATGCGAGCGAAGGAAGTAGTAGTGCCTTGTAATGAG